GTGGATACTACTCCCGAGTCTCAACTTTCTTCTGTACATAGGCCTAGAAGCTCTGCTGGTGAGGTTGTCACTCAAGACCAGTGTTGGGAAGTAGCGCGCTACAAGTAGCGACGCTACAGAAGCGCGCTACTTTTTTTGTAGCGTTAGCTGTAGCTACGCTACTTTTAAGATTTTGTAGCTTTAGCTGTAGCTAGCTACATTTTTAAAGTAGTTGTAGCGGAATTTTAGCTACTTTTCTCGCTACATTAACATTGTTTGAGATAGTTATTTTTATCATAACCTCAACCTTACGTGAAACAACCTCTTTCAAACTGAGATTTAAAAAAAAAATTAGGCCTACTTTCTTGGCTTCATACAGTTGGTTGCAGCCGTTTCATTCCCTATTACAACGTTGTGTGGACATGAGTGTTATCCACATTTTTGGCTCTCATTTCCTTAATTTACTACTCTATGATAACTGTCAGATAAAATAAAATTGCTAGATGCAGACGACGTTTAAACGTTATCGGTGACAAGAGAAGCTATCAAGCTATTGAATGCTTGCAAGTGATTGACAGGGAAATTAGTAATGAATTTAGTTGCTTTATTATATGATAGTGTTTCAACTTGGGTTTTAATGGAAACCAACACTAAACCTTAAAATAATGAGAAAGCTGCTATCAACCTTTGCTTCAGCTGTTGATTGTGGTTCATCATCACATCACAAGCCTTTACTTGGTTTAGGAAGATTTTTCAAAGGTTTACTAAATTAACAAAGAGGAAATCACTTGATGAGATTTAAGATATGCCTAGACTACATGATAATTGTAACGAAAAAATCTCCATATAACATGAAACTTACATTGAAAAAATACCATAGTTTGCTCCTGCTAACAGCTCTTGTATAGGACTATTCCTAGGCTATGCTATGGTTTAAGACGAATACCAAGTTCCAAGTTCAATTATTAGGAATATATCCGTTTAGTCCTTGCAAGAACAAGCCTACTATAGCCAACTTGTTACATAGCCAAGTAGGCCTACATGTTATTTTTACTTTACAAATGTCAACATGTTTAAATTAAAAGCCGATTTCAGGATAAGTTGCTGAATACTGTTTTCTGTACCAACTAGGTTGAAGCACAATTTGCCCTATGCATAATGACAATAAAGGACGATTTCTTGACATTGAAAAGTGTTATTCATAGATTTTTAGATGAAGTAACACTATGGTTAAAAGCTATAGCAATGTCGCTTTTAACATTAAAAGAAAAGAAAGGCAATAAACTCCAATTTCAGTAGGCTAGGCTCTGTAACACAAAAAAGTATTTTTAAATAATCGTTTTACAGTTTTATTGGTCTTAACTGTTGATATAAGACGTCTATAAATGAATCGATATTAAAGAAATAAAATGAGCTTTTAAAATATAGTTTGGTTGTATGTCCTTTCAACTTAATGAAATTTACATATATAAGATGCTTAAAATAATGCAATATTTAAAAATAAGTACTAAATATGATGGGACACCCAACTATTTGGTTCTGTTGTTGTAATGTTAGGTTTATAATGCCAACAAATTAAATACAATCTAGGTAATTTGTTTTCCAAGTAATGTTAGATACAATACTGACATTTTATTTTTAAATGTTTGTTCAATAAAAATAAAGTTGCAATTAATTTTACATTTACCTAATGTGCGTGGAATAAAAAGTAACGTCTTTGGAAAAGTAGCTAAAATTGTAGCTGTAGCTACATTTCATTGTAGCTGTAGTTGTAGCTAGCTACTTTTTCGGAACTGTAGCTGTAGCTGTAGCTAAGCTACTATTTTGGAAATGTAGCAGTAGTTGTAGCTAGCTACATTTTAAAAGTAGCTTCCCCAACACTGCTCAAGACAATGAAATCAAAACCAGTTGTACGTCTCAAATTGTTATGTCTACTGAAACCTTGTCTTATGTATTGTTGGGCACTGTTCAACTTTTAGCTCAGAATGTAGCTGGACAATTTGTTAAAATTAGAGGTCTAATTGATCCAGGTTCACAAATATCATGCATTTCTGAAACATGCGTTCAAAAACTTTGTTTGCCTCGCATCAAGTACAATGTACCAATCACTGGTTTGTCCCAGGTGCCCATTTCAAAACCTAAAGGAGTTGTAAAGTGCGTTTTGAAATCACCTCATAGTGATGACCTTGAAGTAGTCACTACTGCTGTTGTACTTAATCGTATCACAAATCATCTTCCTTCTCGTAAGCTGAAGTCATGTGTTCGAGAGCATTTTCATCACATCCAGTTAGCGGATATCAACTTTGACATCCCTTCGCCAATTGAATTTTTGCTTGGCGCTGATATTTTCCCCCAAGTTTTTGATGGAGGAAAACTTTTTATTGCTGATGGTTTACCCTCTGCATTTCACAGTATTTTTGGATGGGTTTTGTTAGGCTCAGTTGATTCAAAGTATTTTGATCATTTCAACCCGTCAAGCGCATCGCCTGTCATGTCCAACTTATGTCTTCTTGCATCACAATCAACACTTGATGAAAGTTTAAGGAAGTTTTGGGAAACTGAAGAAACTCCTTCAAAACCAGCGTTAAGCCCTGATGATCAATTTTGTGAAGACCATTTTCAGCAAACCCATACCCGTGACAGTAGCGGACGGTATGTTGTCAAACTGCCCTTTAAAGAAGACCCGCCTACTTTAGGAGAATCATTTCAACCTGCTCTGCGTAGACTATATTCTTTGGAACGGAAACTTCACAAATCTTCAGATTTAACTTCAGTCTATTGTAAATTCATGACAGAGTATGAAACTTTGGGACATATGACACTGTTATCTCCCGATGACACATCTTCTAAATACTTCATCCCACATCATGGTATTTTTAAAGATGAAACACAGCCTAATAAATTCAGAACAGTTTTCGATGGATCGGCTCAATCCTCAAACGGGAAATCACTTAATGACGTCCTTCATGTCGGACCTAAGCTCCAAAAGGACATAACTGATATTATTTGTCGCTTTCGCTTTCATGAGATAGTCTTCACTGCTGATATCTGCAAGATGTACCGCCAGATTTTAGTACATCATGAACATCAACCTTACCAAGTAATTTTATGGCGATCATCCCTCGATAAGCCTGTAAACAAATATGCTTTGCAAACTGTCACTTATGGACTTTCATGTTCGCCTTACCTTGCCATGCGCACAGTTTTGCAACTTGCTAATGATGAAGGGTCAAATTATCCTCTTGCGTCACAAGTCATACGCAATGACATGTTTGTTGATGACCTAGTAACTGGGTACCTCCGACCTACAAACAGCTAAATGTATAAAATCAGAACTTGAACATATTTTTGCCAAAGGAGGTTTTGAGTTAAAGAAATGGAGTAGTAACAACTCAGAATTTTTATCAGACATTCCTGTTGATTGTCAAGACAAACCAATGTCATTCGATGTCGACCAACATTCTGTAAAAAAAATTCTTGGCTTACAATGGCTTCCCTCTCTGGATGTGTTTACGTACAATGTTGATACTATGGATTGTCCTCCAACCAAACGAAATATTTTATCTCAAATATCACGCATTTTTGACCCTTTAGGCTGACTGACCCCTGTGGTATTGTGGGCAAAACAGTTAATCCAACAACTTTGGACAGAAGGTCTTAACTGGGATGATCTTCCTAGTCATGAGATACAATGTCAGTGGACCCGCTTTGCACAAGAATTTTCATGTTTAAAAGAAATATTTATTCCACGACTTGTTTTACCGAAGACCTTCACCGATCTTCAAGTCCATGGCTTCTGTGATGCATCAGAAAAAGGATTTGCTGGAGCAGTCTACTTTCGTGTTACACATAACGACTCTTCGGTTTCAACACATCTGGTCATTGCAAAGTCTCGGGTTTCCCCTTTGAAGAGGATTTCCATTCCACGATTGGAATTGTGCGGAGCTGTACTGTTAACCAAATTGTTAGATTTCTGCAAATCATTTTTTATGCAAATTCCGAATTTAAAGTGGAAAACGTATGCCTGGACAGATTCTACTGTTGTTCTTAATTGGATCCATACCTCGCCTCATCTTTTGAAAACCTTTGTGGCGAATCGGGTATCTTTTATTCAAGAAAGCACCAGTCCTACTTTATGGTTCCATGCTCCTGGCGAGTCTAACCCTGCTGATTGTGCATCAAGGGGTATATTTCCTCATGAAATCATCCATCATCCTTTCTGGTGGAGCGGACCACCTTGGCTTTTAACAGCTTCAGAACTCTGGCCTCCGCAAGATATTGTGAACAAGACCCAAGAGGATGTCCCAGAACTTCGTAAAGTTTTGTGTGCTTTGACCACAGAGGAACCTACTGTTGATCTCACTATTCTAGAACGATTCTCATCGCTTTCACAGTTAAAACGAATTACTGCTTGGTGTTTACGATTCTACCAGAATTGCAAGTCTACAAAATTTAAGGGATTGTTAACTGTTAGTGAACTTAATGTTGCATTAATGATTTGGATCAAGAACATCCAACAGAAGTATTTTCCCTCTGATTTAATTTCTCTACAAACCAAGGGCTTAGCCAAATCACAAGGAATTCTTCGCCTAGACCCATTTCTTGATGAAGATGGAGTTATCAGGGTGGGCGGTAGACTACGGCACTCAACTTTAGCGTTTCAGAACAAACACCCGTCACTTCTTCCAAAAGAAGGACATGTGACCGCTCTTATAATAGACAGTTATCACAAGGTTTATTTGCATGCAGGGCCTAAGCTCTTGCAATCCATTCTTTCAAAGGAATTTTGGATTTGTTCTGCTCGAAATACTATCAGGAAACGATTGTCAAAATGTGTCCAGTGTAAAAGATTTCGAGCCTCACTCCCGCAACCTTTCATGTCTGACTTGCCCGCTGTTCGTCTACAATGTAGCCGTCCCTTTCTGTCATGTGGGATAGACTTTGCAGGTCCCTTTCAAACCAAATCAAATGCTCTAAGAAAATCGCAGCTTACAAAATCATATTTATGCATTTACATTTGTATGTCAACCAAGGCCGTGCACTTAGAGGCAGTTTCCAGTCTTTCCGCAAAGGATTTTTTGGCTTCATTTTCAAGATTCACTGCTCGTCGAGGTCTTCCACATGATGTTTACAGTGATATGGGTACTAACTTTGTTGCCGCTGCTAAAGACCTTACCGAAATGCACAAGCTTCTATCTAAATCACCTGTTTCAGAGGTTATTCAAAAGAGTTTGACTGATAAAGGAGTACAATGGCACTTTAATCCTCCTTCGGCTCCACACTTTGGAGGAATCTGGGAGGCCGCGGTAAAGTCGGCAAAATATCATCTCAGACGAGTGATAGGCATCCAAATCTTCACGTTCGAAGAACTTTCTACCTTGTTTGCTGAAGTAGAGGCAGTGATGAACTCGAGACCTCTTTCCCCACTATCACCTGATCCAAATGAAAATAATGTCCTCACTCCAGGGCATTTCTTGATTGGTGAAGCGTTCACTGCAGTACCTTCACCGGATGTGACAGATATTAAACTCAATAGATTGACTAGATGGCAACTTGTCCAACAAGCAACTCAACATTTTTGGCGGAGATGGAGCTCGGAATATTTACATAATCTCCAACAGCGCGGGAAGTGGACTCAACATATTCAAAATCTTCAAGTAGGAGACCTTGTTCTCATAAAGGATCCAAACCTACCTCCTCTTTACTGGCCTACTGGACGAATTGTTGCTATACATCCAGGAAAAGACCATACAGTTAGAGTTGTAACGTTACGAACTTCTTCTGGACAATTAACACGACCAGTGGTTAAATTGTGTCCACTACCCAAAGAATAAGTCAAATCACAAGTTTTGTTTTCAAGAAGAGATTTTTTTGTTTTTTACTTTTAATTTCAAGTACCTGAAGATTTTTACAAAATGTTATTTTATTTATTTGAAGAAGAGAAGACTCTTTCCATTGAGAAGAAATTTTAATTGCATTTTTAAAAACACAAAAAAGGAAGTAGTTTTTTTTGTGCAAGCTCATGAATTTTAATTACCTTTTGAGAAGAAAGAAAACTTTCAGTTTTGGTGGGCGGTTTGTTTAGTATTTCAAACTTTATTTCTTGGCAATTCCACTGCACACACATACTCCATAATCCTGTCTAATACCTGCCTTTCATGAGCACTAAAAAACAAGCTGAGGATATTCTACTCTAGCTAGAAGAGGATTGAGTTCAGCCCACTTGATTTCAGTATGTATGGTGAGTCATAACCTCTATTGCTCCCTCCTTTTTACCATTTTAACTTTTACCAATTTTCGCCTTTTTCAACCCGCATTATAAAACAGTTATGTTTATCTTTTAATTTAATAATTGTAGACAAGCATTCAACAGAGATACTTCGATACTTCGATACTTTGTGTAAGTTTGAAAATCATGCAATGAAATATCACGCAACAATGAACAATAGACGATAGACAATACAAATTATAAAAAAATATATCGAACATACACTGCTGAGTATTAAAATGGAAATATGAGCCTGCTAGAAAGAGTTGTTATGGTGTAAAAGTTTCTTCACCTGTATTTAAAGAGCCAATATGGAAGAACTATACTCAGAGAAGCTGAAGAGTCGCGACATTTTCAGCTTCAAGATTTTATGTTGTAAGAGTTTTTAGTTGGGGATTAAACAAATGATTTTCATTTAGTTTTTAATTGTAATTAATTCGCTGTAGAGTTTTTAAACATAACATGATTTTTTTTAACTGTGCATACCACAATAAATAATGATATCTTATCTTTGTGATCGTTGGCGAAGCCATTACGGGTAATTATTGTAATACAATACTCTGTTTATTTCTTATGCTGTATAATATTTATGGACTTATGGTTATACAATCGCAGGCGAAGCCGCGGGTACAAGCTAGTCAATATAAATAAAATTACAGTTTTGTCTGTACATTGCTTAGAATCATGCAGCTTTTGGTTATTTTTACGTTTCATAGCCTAAGAAAGCCTAAACGAGTCTTATCTCAATTTCTGTCTGTTTGTCCATTCTGTCATTCCGTCTGTGATGCCAAAATGTCATTTTACGCGGCCTACTCCTAGAAAACTAGAGTACCAATCAAGGTTCTAATAATTTTTCTGTAATTACTGGATTAGTGAGAGTGTCTTTGGCTACGAAAACATGGCCTCGCTTCTTTGAAAACAAAATAACGAACCATCAAAAACCCATGTTTTTCCGAATTTTCTCCCAGTGTTTACTACATTACGTTTTATGAAATAACGATCAACTGTTTGGATTAGTTCTCACGTCTAGCTGTCACTGATAAGCTCACATTAAAAGTTGTTTACAAATACCGCAACCATTCCGATTAAGTTTTGTTAGCACATCCAAACCAAGTGAGATTAAAAACGTCGTGCCTTACTTAACCGGTTTAATCAATCGCAAGTGCAACGATTGTTCTTGAGTTTTAATAACCGGGGGAAATACCGTGAATCAGTGTTGAATCAGTGCTGGGAAACTTAAATTTTTTTACCATCGTCACCAATAGCTTACAAAAAAGGTTTCCACTCATCGACGGCACTTCAAGGACAGTTTTGTAAAGTGAAAAGTAAAAAAATCACAACTGCAGTGGGTGATTGTAGATGTTGCTGCGATCTTGGAAGATCTTTCTGATTTCGCTATGACCGTAACAGAGGTTTAACTTACAGGTTTCAGGTTTAACAGGTTTAACTAAGCTCGCTTTCCAATGTGTCACTTTTGGTTTCTACTTATTTACATTTCGACAACGATATCGATTTTTTCCTACTTAGGAAGTAAAACTACAAACGTCCAAAACCTCAGATTTGTGCGTTTTTTGTCACACTTCCTCCGAATTTTCGCTAGATATATGTACCGATTATCGTTGTGAGATTACGTAATCTTTTAAATAAGAAACATTTGTTTGGATAAAGGTGGTTTCTTCAAACTGTCATTAATATGTTAAGTGTTAACATTAAAAGTTGCTTACAAATAATGCTATTAATGGAAAATAAATTTGATTTTCAAAAACAAACAAAAAATTAAAACCAAGGGAGATTAATAACTTTGGTACTGCACCACATCAAGTGACATTTTTGAGCAAACCATAGTGAGTTTTTAAAGCTTTAAGTTGTTAACGTTATATGTTACATGTTTTGTGGCCTGTGTATTTATTTATTTATATATTTGCCAACGGATTAATGTTGAAAATGCCTGCCTTTTCTATTTATTTTTAATAGTCATACAGATGATATGAATGTTGTTTTTACTATCAGCTGTCTGTTTTGCTGTCCAATATTGCTCCTTGTCATGAAAACATTATGAGAAATACATTTGATTATTTTATAGTTTAAATTCTTTTTCCGTCGTAGTTTTACTTAGATTATCCCTAAACACCACCACTTTGGAGAATGATTCAAGAGGTTATGGGCCCAGCATCGTTTTAAGTACATATAATATAATATAATAACAGTGTTGGGAAATCTAGTCTACTACGTACACGGTAAATACAAATTATTCTGACGTAATTTTCTGTCTCAAGAGTATTATTTTTTTGGTATATCTTTTGATCGAGTTCGACCAGCTCTACAAATGGAGTACGTGAAAGGTATAAAACCATTGAAAGGAGCAGAAGATTGGCTGACGTGGAAAGATCGAGTGTTGGACGTTCTAGAGTTGTTCGACGCGGTTGATATCGTCGAGGGAAAGAGAGAAAAGCCTACCCTCTCTGAGCCTCCGACTAAAGCCGAAAAGGAAGAACTTCAGAAATTCAATAAATCCACGACTCAGGCAAAAATAGTTATTTCTCAGTGCGTTAGTGTTTATCTACATCAACGTATTTCCGGAAGATTATCAGCTAAGGAAGCGTGGGACATTTTGATCGAGCAGTTCGATAACAAGGCAGAAGATCAGTTGTTTCGTCAGTGTTTGGATTTCTTCAGTATCCATAGGATGATACCAAGGATGCCCCGATCGTGCTTTCAAGATTGAAGAATCAAAACAGCGAATTTGCAGCTGGCCTCAAAACGCGTAACATCCAAACAGTCGAAGATTTTCTTGAGCTCCTGTTTGTGTCAAAAGTGTTACACATTTTTCCGAAGCGTTTTGAATCATTCAAGTCTAGCTACTTACTTATGAAGGCAAACGAGAGCAAGAAACTTGAAGATGTTTCATCTGCATTGATCCTTCATGAGCGTAATGTTGCTCTTACTTCAAAAGCTGGTGACATTCTTAGTGCTACAACCAGCGGTGGTCAGAAGAATAGGAAACCAAAAGGTGACATTTCGTGCAAATACTGTTCGGGGAAAGGTCATTGGATTCGCCAGTGTTCTAAATACAAAGCTGACGGCAAGCCTGCGTATCCAGCTCGAGCTAACGACATTAGCACTAGCTCAAACGCGAGTGACACTGATAAGAAGAGAACAAAGGGCTCGCAAGTTAACGTGACCGACAACCAAAGTGCACTGATTTCCATCAGCAGTGACATGAATATCGTGACCACGAACGACCAGTGGTGGATCGACAATGGCGCTACGCGGCACATTACGTCAAATCTGAGTTGGTTCACGGAGTACAAACCTTTTCCTGCAAACTCGAACGCAACGGTAAAGGCGGCGGGAAAGGAAGTTATAAAAGCTTTTGGCAGTGGAGTCGTTTAAGTAGCGAACTATGAAAATGGAAAACTGGAAACGTTCACACTCAACGATGTCTGGTATGTTCCTGACGTTTCTCGGAACCTAGTGTCCATTCTCGCAGCTCATGAGCTCATGATCGAAACCCTAATAGCAGGTTTGAATCGACTAATTACCGAGTGTCGGTTCGCTATTAACGAGCAAACTGTATTCAAAGGTACTCGAAACTGTGGTGGAACTTTGTATCGTGCCTCAATTCACACAGTTCAACCATCTGAGGTTTGCGCCAATGCAGCAGAAGACAATCGCATCCTGCAGTTATATCATTTGCGCTGGGGTCACATGGATAAATGCTACGTCCGATCGAAGCTCGAATCAGAAATGGGTATCAAAGTGCCAGCCAACTACGAGATCTACGAACCGTGTCAGTTCGGAAAGGCACACCGTCTACCATTCGGAACACTAGAACGCCCCTCAGCCCCCGGTGAGTTGTTATCCGGTGATGTTTGCGGCCCGTTTTACCCATCCTTCGGAGGTCACCGATACTTGATCGTCATAAAAGACCACTTTTCAAGGTACCGATACTGTTTTGTCGCAAGGGAAAAATCTGCTGTGAAGGAAGCGTTGCGTGAATTGTTGGCTAAAGCACGTACAATTGGTCATCGCGTCAAAGAGTTTCTCAGCGACAACGGTGGTGAGTTTGACAACACTGAAGTTCGTCAAATTCTCAGAGAATATGGTGTTAACCAACGTCTGACAGCGCCGTATACACCCGAGCAAAATGGTGCTGTAGAGAGAGAGAGAACAGAACGATCGTCGAAATGGCCCGTACCTTCAAGTATGCCAATCCAAATGTGACATTTCCTGCAGCGATCTGGCTGAACTTGTCATCACTGCTGGCTACGTTTTGAATCAAGTGGGAAAGTCAGCAGTTGCCAACAAATCGCCTTTTGAGCTCTGGTTTGGTCAAAAGCCGAGGATCAAACATCTGCGAGTGGTCAGCTTAAAGTGCTACGTCCATGTTCCTGTGCAGAAGAGGCGGAAAATGGACAAGAAAGCTGTGGTTGGTTACCTGGTTGGATACGATGGCAATGAACGATATCGAATTTACGTCCTCTAGAGAGAAGAGATATCGTAGTTTCTCGTGACGTCATTTTTCAAGAAATCGTTGGAGACTTTGGCAAGAAAGTTGAGTGGCCC